CCCCCATGTACAGGTTTTATGGTGTCTTGGAAAGTTATAGGTTTAAATATAGTGCTAGCAAATTAAATTCCCTTTACTTTCGGCATGGGTTGTCAGGCAGGTCCCGCTAATTGTAATTAATTAAGATACCTAATTATGTAAAAATATTACATAAATATATATGTAGAATTAATATAAAATATATATATGAATCTATATGTGTATATATATAATTTTTAAAAAATATTTTTATTTATATATAGGTATATATATATATATATATATAGTGATATATACGTATATATTTATGTATGTAGATATATATATTATTTTGTTCTACGTGTATTTTGATATAAATATATATATTAATATCACAATACAGTTAGAACGAAATAACACACATCTATATATTTTTTAATAATTTTTTTATTTTATTTTTTAACGTATTTACATATTTTTTTATATTATATATAAATATATATAACAATAATGATATATTTAATCAGTATCAGTCTACGTGTAATTTGAGATATATATATTTTAATAGTAAAATACACCTAGACATTGTATGTGTGTATATATATATATATATATATATATATATATATATATATATATATATATATATATATATATATATATATATATATATATATATATATGATCTAAGTATATATTATTTTCTTTTTTTACACTATTTATTTTATTCATTTTTATTTTCAGCCAGCAGGGGGACCACCTGTCATTACAGGCAGCCCCCTGCTGGCAATGCTGCAGCCAGCTACCCCCGGCCATGTGATTGTGGGGTCCTCGCAAGGACCCCACTCTCACATGGCCGGGGGGCTTCCAGGACGTCGGATGTGCCGCGGGGGGCTCCCTAGGAGTCCCCCCAACCGCGATCGCCAGCGTGGGATCGCCGGCGACCGGGTAAGTAGGAAAAGACCGGAGGGCGTACTATTACGCCCGGCAGCGTTTAGAGCCGCTTAGAATAGGACGTAATAGTACACCCTCCGGTCTTAAGGGGTTAAACACGGGGAGTATTACACTGAGAATCCTACTACTTACTGGATGTATTTATTAAATACGATTCACACCGCTTCCTCTTGCCTTGTGAACTACTTACCTGAAGATACAGGAACAAATCAATATCTGTCTGTCAGAAAGAGGCAGAGCCTAGTAGAGAAATAAGAGTCTGTTATTAAAACGCTGCAACAATGACCCGATGTTGCTAAATTCAGATTCACAATACCTCACACAGTGGATGAATTGATACAGCAATGGTCAGTCACAGGAGAGGAATAAACTAATAACATTACTAGGCAAAGGCAAGAAGAATCATATACAGATTAGTTGAGGGAAAAAAATAAATATCGGTTTGAACCATAGAATTTGTGGCAACTACTAAATTATAAGGAGGCCAACCACATCAGTACCTACATTCAAAGATAAACATATTGTAAATAGTACAGATTATGCCAAACAGTATAATCAAATTTATTAGAGACTGTTGTGCAACATAAGTAAGAGATATATAATAGGCAACATACTGATGGGAAGGTGGTAACCAGAGGTACATTATACATTGCGGCAACAGACACATAATAAGCAGGATAGTAGAAGATATTCAGTTATCCTTATGAGGACAACAACCGCATACTTACTCTTACCTTATCTTCAGATAATGAAGAAGTACTTATGGCAGAGCCTATGGTGATAATAAGCAGCTTGTTATATCTGCAAGATATCAACACCAATCCAAGCATATAATCCACAAGTGTTAAATCAATGCAACGTTAGGAGTGACCATAACTTATACAGATCTAGGTACAGAGACCCTGTAAAACATATCAGTCAAATGTTTGTCATCAACAAGCTGCATTACATTACATTATGCAGGATGAATCAACCATTTAAAGCCACACATTGGTTGCAAATTCCAGATATAAGGACACCTAGAAGAATCCTCATGAATATCAGAAGAGAGGTCTGTAATGGAACTACCTGTTTAGGGATTTCCTCTATTATTCAGGCAGCAGGTGAATTTTACCTGAAATAGTAAACCTGGTAGAATGGACTGGGGACTGGAAAGACCTTAAAATACTTGCAATACACAGCATCAAAGTTACCTGGAGCATATGAGCCTAAAAGAATACCTTTTTTGCAGAAAGGAAATTATAATGTTCCCCTTCACAACAGGGGAATCTGTCGGAATTTTTTGATCATTAACTCCTTAAGAACCAAAAGCATGCGACCCCTGACATATACTAAAGGGATTGCCAAACTTTCAGGTCCCCAAGGGATAAAAGAGAATACTGAATATAAAATTTATGCTTTAAGGAAATTAATTCAGATTTAAAGAATAAAAGGTTATAACCAGGTGAAAGAAAAACCAATAATAACAGCTTTTAAATCAGGTAATGGCTTCAGCATTACCTACTTATGAGATCAATTAATAGCCAAATTTGTGCTCCTGCAACCAGTATGATCTACTAAGCTGTGCATCAGTAATCAGCATATATCTAAAGGTAAAACACTGCCACTAATTGAAAAAACATTCCCTATCTTGAACAGAGAGGAGAGGATACCTGGCAATAGAAAAATTTTTGTAGATGGGTCTCATGTATAAATACATAGGAGTGCACACAAAAAAAAAACACGATTGTGTTAAACATTACCATGCTTCATTTTGGAAAAACAGGTCTCCCTCTCTCCTGGGAGAGGCACTCATACAGGTTCAGTAACACCTGCACTCTATCTGAAGGGGTAAAATGTGTTAATTGCTTATCCTGAAACACCTGTGGGAGAAGGAATCTAATACAAAGCCAAAAGCAGTATGTTTCCTTATCTACTTCATTTAAAAAACTGAAATAGAAAATCCACAGTAGGCAATAGTTACTTACCCAGTACAACAGTGCATTTGTATTTGCTAGAATTGGGCAGTGCTACATTTCAGGGCAAAACAGACCTTAGATCATTTGTATATATTAAATCTACCAATGCCGTGTATAAATTAGGGTTATCTAATACTACCAACCTGCATACAGAATATATGAATCATATACATTGTGGATGTTTCTGACAGCACCTTATACACAGATAAATCGGTTACATATATGGAGTCTGTTTAAACAGTAATCATACATATTGGAGATATTCTGGTGTGCCTAATGCAAGACACAGAGGAGAGGGAGATAGACTAACACTCAGCTGCTCAGAAAAACTGGAAACAATAGGGATTCACTAAAAACCTATGTAAAAGAAGGGTAAAAACACTCTAAAATTCAATACAGATAATGAGATTAGATGTGTGGGTCCAGGAGCTAACTGGTGACTAATGGCTATAGTATATATATGGAGAGAATATAATAATAAATGAGATAAATATATACCAGATGGAGATGGGTTGGGTGTATGAAATGTCTTGTGCCTTTAAATACTGGTTATACGTGATATACCTTTAAGTGCAATAGGAAAGAGTAAAAACAAAAAAGAAATAATAATAGATAGATATAAATAAAAAATCTAGATCAAAATCAAGAGAATAGAGATAAAATAGAAGATGAGTTGAATAAGGAAGAAGAGAAAAAGAAATAGACGGATGAACGGGGAAAAAATAGAGGACAACACTGAAAACAACACTAAAAGTGCAAAAAGAAAAAAAGGAGAATGGGTTCCTGGAGGAAATGAAATTGATTTGTATAGAGCAGGTGTCTCAGTCCCCAATGTGGTTGGAGTAGATAATCCCTGTTCTAAATAATATACTTTGTTGTATCAAAGATAAAAAGTATCCTTTTAGGTTAAGCAACCCAGTACATGGAACTGTGTGCTGTAGCAATAAATACAATGTATCGCAAAAAGGGCTGAAGCAATAAAAACTGGATATATAAAAAAAGCCAGTTTATTAAACAATTAAAAACTATATTAATAATAAAATTGCAAAAATACAGATTTAGTAAAGTTCATGTGTGCATTACCAGACTCCTGTGAGTAAAAGAATAGCAAGAATCTTCGGTATGGCTGAGGATGGATCCAGATAGATTTGGACAAATTGTCTGTATTCTGGCGGGCAGTAAGGACGGCGTGGGTAAGTTTGTGCATCCCGAACAGGAGCCTCGCTTGGGGAGACGTACAGGGCTGGTGATCCCGGTAGCAGTGACTGCCAAAGGTTCTGCGTATGGAGATGAGTTGCTGGTGAATGCTGGCTGGTTCTGTATTCTGCAATGATGATTTGTCTAACGCGTTTCGTAGGGGGTGCGCCCTACTTCATCCGAGACGTGATGTTGGCTATTGCTTCAGTCCTTCTTTAAATATGCATTTCATAATTGACAATAAAATATTTATATCACATTCAGAGTGTGAAATACAGATTATAACATGTGAAAAACGATTAAAATATGAGAGTTTACAGAATAGAAATATGAATATGACTTGGAAATCTTATTTGATACATACATAAATAACTAACATTAGTTTCTTCAAAAACTAGTAGTTAAAATTGTACATCAATGTAGAGATGTCCAGGTAATACATTACATGTCAAACTAGATGGAAGTATTATAAATATAGTAGAACATAGAATAATTGTTTAATGAGAAGATAATTTACATATTAGACCAACCATAGTTTTATAGATAAAGTGAAAAATCCTTGTCATAAAGGATATGTGTGTATATGAAGTGAATAAACGAATCCAAATGAAAAAAAAACGGAAAAAGCGAAAAAAAAAAGATAATGGTAATAGATACACACAAGAATAAATATGGTAAATTAGTTTCTAACATTAAATGGAAACATCTTAAACGGATACTTCCAATCTGAAATAAAACAGAAAGATTAGTAATATAATCATTTGATTAAATATATATAAGTGAATATAAGTTTATAGAAGAGGATAAGTTGAGAGTAATGTGTGGAAGGAATATAAAGGCCATGAATAGAAGTGTATATTCCATATATGCTTAATTAGTTAGCTCACTTTCCGTGAGCATCACCGGTCTTATAGAGATGCCCTCTTTTCCCAGAAATCTCCCAGAAAACATTCCACAAACAACTGGACAGAGAGTAGACCATCACGTAATAGAAGACAAGAGGCTCCATACCTCCATCACCATCAACGAAAAGAGTATAGAAGAATAGAATATCGAGATCAAAAGAGACACCAACAGTATCCAGGACAAACTACATACACGTCACCATCAAGAGTAAGAGGGTCACTTGACGACTATCAAAGAAATGAACATAGAAAAACAGACTATCGAGATCAAGGGAAACACCAACAGCTTCCAAGACAGTCTGGCCATTCATCACCATTCAGAAATAGAAGACTACCTGATCACGAGAAACAATTATCTCCAACACCAAACCCCCCCCCTCCAGATCATAGAAGGACCAATTTAGAGTCCAATAGAGCACTTATTTCCAACACCAACACTGTGAATGATTGTTTAGACAAACGGGGGAGGATTCCCCCCAAAAGATTCTCGGCGGAAGACTTCAGATCCCCAGATGTGAGAAGAAAAAGAACAATAAGAGACCTAGAAGAAGGCACAGAACAATACGAAGAACAGACACAACTGAAAAGGAAGAAGTAAGCATCTTCAACCTGTCTAATAGGACTCTCAATCCAGATTAACTCTCCCTTCTCAGAAAAGGTTTGAAGTTTGCTCCCAAGTCTAAGAATTCAGATTTCAATGTATATATAGATTTACATAAATTTATACGCAAAATATCCATAAAAAATTTTTTTATGGAAAAAGATTTGATCAAACAAGAAGTGGATCAAGACTACTCACACACTGAATTACACCCCACTTCAACATTTTACCCACAACATGTCAAGAATGATTCCATTAAAGTATTCGAAAAGATGGTTGAAAAAGATTTTAAGAAAAAGATCACCAACAAGATCACCAAAGACAACTTGACCAGAAAAGAAAGAAATGCAATGAAACAACTTATGAAGTCTGAAGACATCACAATAAAAGCAGCAGACAAAGGGGGTGGACTAGTCATCCTCAATACTAGCGATTATGAGGAGGAGAACCAGAGATTACTAGGAGACACCAACACCTACCTACTATTAAAAAGTGACCTCACCCTTCAATATCAGGGAAAATTGAAGGTAATACTTAATTATGGAAAAGACAGAGGAATCCTGAACGATAGAGAATTTAAATACCTATACGTACAATTTCCTTAGATACCGGTGTTTTACCATTTGCCAAAGATTCATAAAAGATTAGAGAAACCCCCTGGAAGGCCAATTGTATCGGGAATTGGATCCCTAACCGCAAATCTTTCCGAATACGTGGACCAATATCTTCAACGTCTAGTCCCCTGTCTCAGATCATACCTCAGAGACTCCACCCAAATTTTAAATATTTTATTGGATTTTAGGTGGGAAAATTAGATGTTTTTAGTCACTGCAGATGTTACCTCACTTTATACAGTGATTGAACATCTTCAAGGCTGTGAGGCTACCCAGTTCTCGCTAGCAACATATTCAGAGTTGAAAAACGACCAAATTGATTTTCTTATCCAGTGTATTGCTTTTATTCTCACACATAATTATTTTTGGTGCAGTGATTCATTTTATCTACAAATTGAAGGCACAGCCATGGGGAAACGATTTGCGCCAAGTTATGCCAACCTATTTATGGGCAAATGGGAAGAAGAATTTATATGGACCCATTGCCCATTTGGCGCAAATCTGTCCCTAAGGCGCAGATATATCGATGATTGCTTCTTCATATGGAAAGGAGACCTGGAATCCCTGGAGAAATTCAAGATTTATCTGAACAATAATCCATATCATCTTACATTCACCTTCAGTCATTCTAAAGAACACATTGAATTCCTGGATCTTGACATCTATATTGAAGAAGGGAACATCCACACCAAGACTTTCAAGAAGACCGTCGACTGTAGTTTTATCCCTTTTAATAGTCATCATAAATCTACATGGCTAAAAAACATACCACAGAACCAGTTCAGGAGAGTTAAACGGAATTGTTCGAAAGATGATGTCTGCAGACAACAAATGGAAGAAATGAGACAGAGATTTTCAAATAAGGGTTATCCCCCAGCACTATTAGAAGAAGCCATGAATACAGCACTGATTATTCCGAGGGAAGACACCCTTTGTAAGACAATTAAAGCTACAGAACGCCATTCCTCAGCACCAGCTTTCATTACTTAATATAATCATCAGTCTCACACAATACAGAGGATATTAAGAAAACATTGGGAGATTCTGAAGAACGACTCAACGCTCTCAAAATGTTTAGATCACCAACCTCAGATTATATTCACTAGGGCACCAAATTTACAACTTATGTTGGCACCCACCATCAGAACTGTAGATACTATTTTGGATCAAAGTATCAACCAAGGTTTCATTAGATGCAAGAAGTGTCCAGCATGTAAATACAACCCCTCATTGGAAACTGCAATCACTAAATTCACATCACTTACCACTCAAGAAGAATATGCTGTAAAAACTAATATGGACTGCAACACTTCGGGAGTCATTTACCTCATAACATGCCCGTGCCCGCAACAATATGTGGGACGCACCAAGAGACCATTGAAAATACGAATTGCAGAACACATTAGGAACATCAAGAAGGGACTTCTAACACATAATATCTCAAAACATTTTAAAGAAAAACATGAGGGAGATCCTACAGGACTCAAATTTATGCCCATCAAGAAAGTGAATACCCTCTGGAGAGGAGGTAGCATTGATAAGACCCTAGATCAAAGAGAAGCAAAGTGGATCTTTGAGTTGGAAACTCTAGTCCCTAAGGGACTCAATGTAGACTTCGAGTTTAATGCTTTCCTATGAGACTCACTAAGTACATTCTCCTTGTTTTACCATAAAAATTTTATGTAGATGTTCACCTTAGCATCTCACTGTCTCCCCTCCCTCCTTTCATTCTTCCACTACATTTATTTGGACCAAGATGTAGATATCTGAGAGATATTTCATTCCTTTAATATTCTCCATGTGAGTAACGATTCATTTGTGTTTACCCCTCCCCCACTTTTTAAACTTTCTTCTGTTTATATTTATTTTTATTTTTATATACACATGGCACTTAGCATTTTCACTAGTCCATATTTAAGTCCACATATGAGTATCTTATGTACTCATCTCCTCTTCGCACCATGTAGTATATTATATAAATATACACACACATCCAATACTCACAGAAAGTGAGCTAACTAATTAAGCATATATGTAATATACACTTCTATTTATGGCCTTTATATTCCTTCCACACATTACTCTCAACTTATCCTCTTCTATATACTTATATTCACTTATATATATTTAATCAAATGATTATATTACTAATCTGTTTTATTTCAGATTGGAAGTATCCATTTAAGATGTTTCCATTTAATGTTAGAAACTAATTATTATTATTATTTTTTTTTTGCTTTTTCTTTTTTTTTCCGTTTGGTTTCGTTTATTCACTTCATATACACACATATCCTTTATGACAAGGATTTTTCACTTTATCTATAAAACTATGGTTGGTCTAATATGTAAATTATCTTCTCATTAAACAATTATTCTATGTTCTACTATATTTATAATACTTCCATCTAGTTTGACATGTAATGTATTACCTGGACATCTCTACATTGATGTACAATTTTAACTACTAGTTTTTGAAGAAACTAACGTTAGTTATTTATGTATGTATCAAATAAGATTTCCAAGTCATATTCATATTTCTATTCTGTAAGCTCGCATATTTTAATCGTTTTTCACATGTTATAATCTGTATCTCACACTCTGAATGTGATATAAATATTTTATTGTCAATTATGAAATGCATATTTAAAGAAGGACTGAAGCAATAGCCAACATCACGTCTCTGATGAAGTAGGGCGCACCCCCTACGAAACGCGTTAGGCAAATCATCATTGCAGAATACAGAACCAGCCAGCATTCACCAGCAACTCATCTCCATACGCAGAACCTTTGGCAGTCACTGCTACCGGGATCACCAGCCCTGTACGTCTCCCCAAGCGAGGCTCCTGTTCGGGACGCACAAACTTACCCACGCCTTCCTTACTGCCTGCCAGAATACAGACAATTTGTCCAAATCTATCCGGATCCATCCTCAGCCATACCGAAGATTCTTGCTATTCTTTTACTCACAGGAGTCTGGTAATGCACACATGAACTTTACTAAATCTGTATTTTTGCAATTTTATTATTAATATAGTTTTTAATTGTTTAATAAACTGGCTTTTTTTATACATCCAGTTTTTATTGCTTCAGCCCTTTTTGCGATACATTGTATTTATTGCTACAGCACACAGTTCCATGTACTGGGTTGCTTAACCTAAAAGGATACTTTTTATCTTTGATACAGCAAAGTATATTATTTAGAACAGGGATTATCGACTCCAACCACATTGGGGACTGAGACACCTGCTCTATACAAATCAATTTCATTTCCTCCAGGAACCCATTCTCCTTTTTTTCTTTTTGCACTTTTAGTGTTGTTTTCAGTGTTGTCCTCTATTTTTTCCCCATTCATCCGTCTATTTCTTTTTCTCTTCTTCCTTATTCAACTCATCTTCTATTTTATCTCTATTCTCTTGATTTTGATCTAGATTTTTTATTTATATCTATCTATTATTATTTCTTTTTTGTTTTTACTCTTTCCTATTGCACTTAAAGGTATATCACGTATAACCAGTATTTAAAGGCACAAGACATTTCATACACCCAACCCATCTCCATCTGGTATATATTTATCTCATTTATTATTATATTCTCTCCATATATATACTATAGCCATTAGTCACCAGTTAGCTCCTGGACCCACACATCTAATCTCATTATCTGTATTGAATTTTAGAGTGTTTTTACCCAGTAATCATACATAGCCTACATCTGTTATATACAGTGACACTATGCCTGTACACATATTAAAGGACCACTCTAGGCACCCAGACCACTTCAGCTTAATGAAGTGGTGTGGGTGCCTGGTCCAGCTAGGGTTAACCCATTTTTTTTATAAACATGTTTATAAATAGGTTAATCCAGCCTCTAAAGCCTCTAGTGGCTGTCTCATTGTTTTCACAGTGAGAAGACGCCAGCGTGAGACTGGCTGAATGCGCACGCAGCTCTGGCCGCGCATGCGCATTCAGCCGGAGAGGAGGAGGAGAGCTCCCCGTCCGGTGCTGGAGAAAGGTAAGATTTTAACCCCTTCCTCTCCCCAGAGCCCGGCGGGAGGGGGACCCTGAGGGTGGGGGCACCCTCAGGGCACTATAGTGCCAGGAAAATGAATATGTTTTCCTGGCACTATAGTGGTCCTTTAACATTATATGAGTGAGATAAATTGAGGCTGTGTTTTAACAGAACCTCATGCACATAATATACCACTCACATATAGTGAGGTTGTGACTCACAACCCACATATAGAACCAGTATTAGATTGGACTCATATAGCGGATGTACTTATATCATTCACATATATTGTGTTTCCACTAATACATCAATCATATAGAGAACAGATACACTGAAGCAATGTCTCCACACCATCTTACCTATAGAGCATGTAGAGGACATATACTGAGGCTGTGTTTTCACAGCGACTCAGAGCATATAAAAAACACACACTGAGGCAGAGTCTCCAGATCAACTCATACACAGACAATATAGTGGATATATATACTGAGGCTGTGTCCTCACAGTAACTCATACACAGAGCATCTAGTGCAGTGGTGGCGAACCTATGTCCGCCGGGTACAGGAAACATAAGTTCCTGTACCGCGGTGCGCTCGGCCACGCTACAAGGTAGGAGCTCAAGGAGGGGGGAGGGGGGACCTGAGTGGGAGAG